GGGCTGCAAAATGGTGAAAAAAGTGTTGGAAGTTGATGCAGAGGCCAGATCGCGATCCAGAAACACCGGATCGCGATCTGGTGGCAAATTCTAGTAGCAGCGAAAAATTGGGGCAAATCGCGATCCGCACCCCTTGGATCACGATCTGGGAAGGCGGTGCGCAGTATTCGAGGCTGCCAGATTGCGATCCAAGAAGCTCAGATTGCGATATGGGCACAAAAATCGAGACAAGATATTTTTCTTTGATATCTTACTATAAATAGAAGGTCTCTTTTTTCATTTTTAAACCTTTCGACAACCTCTGGATTATATCTCGACAATCTCTCGACCTGTTCTTCGATTTTTCTTCAGTTTTCGCCAGTTCTTCGTGGGAAGCTTCGACGAGGGTTTCGACTCGGGTTTTTCATAAGCTTTTTCTTTACGTTTTGTTTATGATTTCTCGTGTTCATCATTTTGATGCTATGTTTGTAATGAACTGAGCATTTTCTTTTAGGGAAATGAAACCTTGTATATATTGATTTTGATTTCCAGATCAGTGATCTATTTGTCGTTCTTTGATTCTGTTTATGTTTTCCTGTATTAAATGCTTTCGATTGTTTGGCTAACAGTTGAATTGATTGTAAATGAGAATGAACTCGAGAGAGGATTTCTCGTTTGATTTTAGGAAAACATAGCTCGGGTTGTGAAAACGAAGACGTGATGCTCCTTGGGTAGTCCTTAAGGACTTGACCTCAATGCTATCTTAATATCAGGTTTTGAACGGAAACGTCGGACCTGCGGGTAGACTCTAACTACTGGAGACGGGTGGTTAGGGTATTTTAGTGTCTGGGTTAGCGAACATAGAATTGAAAATAGATTCGGATCTGTAGATCTTTATCGATAGTACACTGGTGGATTTTACCCTAGAAGCCATCACACGTCGGAATTCCTCGCTTTTACTGGCGGACCGTTGTTTTTAGTAGTTTTTCCTTTTAGCTTCATTTCATCCCCCATTCTTTCGTTCGTCTAGATAATGTTTAAGATAGTATAATTACGGTACTTGGTAGATTTAGGAACTTAATTCCCTGTGGATCGATATCTGGAATTCACTATTCTACAAAACGTGATACTGCACACTTGCGATTTTTCATACGTAGATTTTACGCGTATCAAGCAACATCGCCGATAGGAGATCTTGGGGGGCGGGATTTGGATATGGAGTTGAGAGGGGAAGACAATGAGTTGGCTATGGTTTAAAATTGATTTAAAATAGCATTTGAAGTACTTCAAATTGGCCAAGGAGATATGCCAAATTATTATAAAAAAATGAGGGGTTTGCACGAGGGTGTAATCCCCTTGGTGGTTAATTATATACAATTTCCATATTCGGGGTCCCTAAAATAATCCTATATAATATATATATATATATATATATATATATATATATATATATATATATATATATATATATATATATATATATATATACTAAATATATTATTATTATTATTATTATTATTATTATTATTATTTATTTTATTTTATTTTTTCAAATCCTGTTTTCCAGTTTTTTTTCTCTAATTACTTTTGTTGAGTGTAGATTTTAGGCTCAAGTTATACTTTCTTACCTGGATTATTGTGGACTTTTATTGATATAATGATGCTTAATTATTGGTTTACTGTATTTTAGGTACAATTTGAAAATTCGGGAGTTTCGATGATGATACGAGCAAAAACGGTTCAAAACCGGATGAAAATGGAAGAAAACATGTCGGGGCTGAAAAATGGCATGGGGCAGCCATGTGAGAATTAACTTATTTCTGACATGGCCGTGTCAACTGCAAAATTTTGACAGAAAGGCCTCAAAATTTGAGACGGCCGTGTGAGATTTTCTATTGATTCTAACATGCTCGTGTGAGGACACGCGGAAGCGCAAATTTGGAGTTTTAATTGCACAAGAAAACTCGGATCTTCTACCAAGTTGGAGCACCTATTTATGGGCAAATAAAAGCAGGAATTGTCGAGACTTTTTACACAATGTTAGAGCAAGAGGAGCGAGAAAACGGAGAATCGAAGACGAAGATCTGTCAAATCTTCATCATAATTCTTTCCTTATGTCTCTTTATTTTTATGGTGTTTTCGCTTAAGAACGTGAGTAGCTAAACTAGTTAATCTAGGATTTTGTTTCTATGAACCTATTTTTCTAACATTATGTATGTGGTGTCGTAGACATACAGATATCACGTTAGATAGCCGTTTATGAGACTTTAGTTAATGTTTTATTCATAATTTGATAGTGAATTGTTTATGAATAGTAGACTTATAATACACGCGACAGCGGGTTATGAGTATTTTAGTCTCTCTGGTTAATAATAAGGAGTTTAATTTGCATAATGAAGGTTTATTTGGGTGAAAGAAGTATCGCATATGGGAAGATAAAATCCTAGGTCCTTTTTAATTGACATTTTCCTGTGTTTATTTACTTTCGTATTTAGTTTAATAATTTAGATCTTAAAATCTTGACAAATTTGCGTAGGCTAGATAAAAACCATAGTTGTTAGACTTTGGTATTTAGGACTACAGAATTAAGTATTCCTTATGGGATCGACATCCGACTCAATTTTGACCACAAAAATTCAATTTTGACTTTTTTTTTCAATAACTTTTTTTTTCAAAAAATATTTTTTTGCCGCCGGATTCTGGCGTTGACCTTTTTTTTCTTTTTTTTTTCATCTGGTCTGTGTATTCCGCCGCCGGTTCTTCGGCGTTGTCTTTCTTTAGTGCTTTATTTTTACGTCCGCCACTAAACGTTGACCGTAATTGTGCTGTCATTAAAGGTAATTATACTGTCACTGACAGTATATTAACGTAATTGTACAGCCGTTGACGATACATTAATGTAATTGTACTGCCGTTATTATTTTTTTTTTGTTATTTTTTTTATTTTGTTTGATTTGTTGACAAGTCAACGTAATTATATTACTGTCCTTGACAGTAAAATAACTGTAAAAAAAATAATATTACTGTCAACCACATCAATATTATTATGTTTTTTTTGTTTTTTTTTGTTTTGTTTGAGTTATTCGCGGAGTAACGTAATAATATTACTGTCTATTATTGTAATATTACTGTAAACACAATAATATTACCGTGGTTGACGGTAATATTACTGTTGTTATAGTAATATTATTGTCAAGCACATCAGTATCATTATTTTGTTTGAGTTATTCACGGAGTAACGTAATAATATTACTGTTTATTATTATAATATTATTGTGGTTAACGATAATATTACTATTGTTTACTACTGTCACTCACAGTGTATTAATTCTTTTGGCTTTTGATTATGTTTATATTTGTTGAATGGTCAACATAGTAATATTACTCTATTACATAATCATATTGAGTTTTGTTGTTTTAATATTATTGTGCTAGAGATTAATATAGCAATATTATTGTATTAAATTGTAGTATAGTTAATTTTACTGTGTTCAACAGTAATATAGTTAATATTACTGTCAATCATAACAATATTGTTGTTTAAACTTGAAAAAAATGTTACAGAAAGAAAGAAAAGAAAAGGGAAAAAAAAATCAACGCCGGAAACCGTCGAAAATATCATGAAGAAAAAAAAATCAACGCCGAAAAATCGGTGGTCAACGGCGGTGACGGACGAAAGTGTCCATAAAAATATGTTTCGGTTCAAAATTGAATAATTTGTGAAATTTGGAGTTAAATTGAGATTATATTAAATTAAATGATGAAATTGGAGCATATTAAAGTATGAGGCTATTTTAGTGTTTTACAAAAATTTGGACCATGTGTGAACTTTTTGATTTGTTCGACCCTACACCCGGTGATAAACACCGGGTGTAGGGTCGAACAAATCAAAAAGTTCACACATGGTCCAAATTTTTGTAAAACACTAAAATAGCCTCATACTTTAATATGCTCCAATTTCATCATTTAATTTAATATAATCTCAATTTAACTCCAAATTTCACAAATTATTCAATTTTGAACCAAAACATATTTTTATGGACACTTTCGTCCGTCACCGCCGTTGACCACCGATTTTTCGGCGTTGATTTTTTTTTCTACGCGTCACGGT